CACTTAGCTTTCCACTGTCAACCACTTGGCATATGGCGTCGTCATATAAGTGTTCAACGATGTTGATAAACACTTGTGGCACTCCGTAGTGTTGCAGCAGCCGTCAAATTACTTCTCGGTCGACGCCGATTAAGGTCTTTTCAAAGTCGATGAAGTTGAGGTAAGGTAGAGAGTTGACTTCCTTTCTGCGCTCCCTTTTATGATGACGCGTAGCGTTGCGTTGCAATCTCATCCACATGTAATTTGTACTTCCTGAAGCCAGCCAGCCTGTTCTGGTCGTAATTTTGAATGCAGAGCACTGTTTACTCTCTCAAGGATGATACGACATAATATTGTTGCTTGGGGTGGACAGAGACAGGAGCATGATTCCGCGCCAGTTCTTGCAAAGACTTAGGTCTCCCTTCTATGGAAGATTGACGAGGCAGCCCTCCTTCCAATCTGCAGGTACCTTTCCTCCTTTCCTTCCGAATCTTCAGCAATGTTGGTGTGAGCATGTCCGTTGCAAATGTCTCTGTGTCTGTTTTCAGTGTTTCTGGAGGAATTCCATCTGGTCCTGCTGCTTCCTCGGATTTCAGCAACTTTATGGCGTTCGGGACTTCGGCTTTTGTCGGAGGGCTTGTGTTCACTGATAGTTCTGTGGCTGGGCTGCTGGTGATATTTCTGGACGAGTTGCAGGTGGTGGTGGTGTGGTCGAATCAAGAGTTTTTTCAAGTGATCAGCCCATCGTTTCGTTTGGTTCTCCTCTTTGGTAACTAAGTTCCCTTCACTATCTTCCATTGGTTTCATCGGTGTTGATCTCTTCCCTCCCAGATAGTAACCTGGTTATTTGATATAATGTTGTCAGGTCTCTGTCTCTCCCACCTACAGCCTGTTCTGCTTCACTTGCCAGTGTTTCGTAGAAGTGTCTTTTGTCTTTGCGTGCACTCTTCTTCACTTCTTTGTCCAGTGTTCAACACACGTTCTACTCAGTTCCTCTTCTCGTTGTTCATCCTTACACTGCACTGGTTCACCTTCTGCTTCACCATCTTCCTCTCCCTGCTCTGTCAGCTTCCATGTGTCCTTCGAAATCCATCCCTTGTCTTTCTTCTTCTTCCTTCCTAACACGATTATCCAGGTTCCTTTCCACATAGCTTTCAAACAGTTCCAGTGTTCTCCCATACAAGTTTCCTCGGGGATGTTGCCTAATGTCTCCTATCTTGTCCTGATGACTGACATGAAGATGTCCTTTGTAGTTTCATCCTTCAGTTTCTGTTCTGGGTGTTGAACTTGAACTGTGGCCTCTCACCAACTTCTTTGAAGGCTTTCAACTTGATTTTCAAGGTTCCTTGCACTGGATAGTGGGTGGTGTGAACCTGCGTTCGATCCCCTTCTTGATCTGATCTTTTATCCAGTACTCTGCGTCTACACTTTCTTCACATTCAGATGAAGTCGACCTGATTTTCGGTGTGTCCATCTGGTGAAATCCATGTCACTTTGTGAATGTCCTTGTGCTTGAACACACTGCCTCCAATCACCAAATCGTTGAATGCGCAAACAATTCTCCATTCTCATTCATTTCATCGAGTGCTTCTCGACCCATGATGAGTTCTCTTCCTGTGTCGTCCGCTCCCAGTTTGGCATTCATGTCACCCTACCCCTTAGAATCTTGATTTCGCCAACTGGAGTCTTGTCTATTACTGATTGCAGTTGTCTGTAGAATTCCTCCTTCTTGTCTTGATCTGCATTATTTGTAGGTGCGTAGCATTGTGTAATTGTGACTTTCCTTCCCTTTGATTTGAATGTTGCTGTCATGATCCGGCAGGAAGAGATTGGCTCCCACTGCATGAGAGCCTGCAATGCTCTTGGGGACATCATGATAACCACTCCAAAACTCGGTGTGCTCGTGATTGTCGTCTGGGTGACCGGAGTAGATTATTGACTCTCTAGTTGACAGTTGAGAGGGTCTACTTCCATTCAATCTGCTTTCGGAGATTCCTAACACTTCTATGCTGTATCTTCTCTCCTCTGCAAGCTGGACAGCCTTGCCAGCCAGCTTCAAACATTGTTTGGACATTTCATGTCCCCATTCTTACTTTCGCTTTCATCGAGAGAGAGAAGATGCATCGACCGATCGCCTTCCTGAAGGCTTTCAGCAGCCGGCGTCATTTCGTCTCTCCGGTTCCAGCGAGGAATAAGTCTAACTTTATGCTTTGAAGTTTGCTTAGCGGTTAGATGAGATGCGGAGTAGGGTTTTTTAGCACTGTGCCCAGCCCTCCTTTATTGACTGTGGCCACATTTCGCTATGTAGTTACTTCACGTTGTCTTTTGGCGATTATCTAAACGAGTCTGAAAGGGTTGTTTGCAGGAGAACTTGCTGCACTGCATCAAGTTGGTCCAAGGCTGGTGGTTAAACCCACAGAAAGTAGAAGTGAGGATTGTCAGCACTTACAATACACCTTGAAACAGGTCGAACTGGGACATTTATGGCTTTGGGGAGCCCCCTACTAGCCATAGTTGGGTCTCCTTCTTTTTCCAGTAGATTATTGACGCTCGCCCATGCATACCAGCTCTCAGTTGGTACCGCGGTACACATCAGTTGTTTACGGAAGAGGCCATTTGGTTAAAACCACGATTTTGCGGGTTCTCAGAGCGCAGGAGTGGGAGGGAAGTGGTAGCTGCATCTGGTGACTGTCAAGATCTTTTCACGGTGATGCGTCATTGCACGGAGATCATGCCTTTCACTGATGCCTTGAACTCTATTCGGGGCAATTGAAAATGCAGTGCAGCTGGCCCCATGTCCATGAAATATTTAATGATAATAATATTCATAATCTCTTCCCGCATTCACAGGCACATATCACTTTCACAGGCACGTTATCACAATTAGTGGTGGAAAATCTACGGTAATATTTTCTTTCACAAAAAATTCGTCCCATAGTTCCATTCAAGGCAGTGGAAATCCCCAGTCTGAAGGAAAAAGAAAACTTCATACGACATACGAATGGCGCACTTTAATCGCAATTAAGAATTTTTCTTGTTTTCAAGTTATCCGGCGGAAATGGTAGTCATGTCTAATGAATCAGTTAAACCATCACTCAAAAAGAAGAGGAAGTAACCCAGCAATTTCATGCTCGAAAAAAAGTGTAGCGTCACACACTTCCTCAAAATCAATAGCCCGGGGTTTGACGACTTTCGACATTGATGCTGACCTTGATAGTTTGACTGGACTCGCTTAGCTGAAGGCACCCGGTCAAGCATCCTGGCCATTTGGCACGCTGTCGTGTTATGTTGCACTACTCATATTCGACTCGTTAGCCGGTTAGTTGGAACGCATCGATATCTTGGCACAACCATCGAAAAATACTATTCCACCCGACTACGCTATTGTGTTCTTCCTTGGTCTCGCACTCGTGGGTATATAACAAGTCCGAATAATTAGTGATTGGTCTTTGCGTCTGTCAAGTTGGCACCAGGACAAACCCTAAAACCTTTTCCTCAGTTTGAGGCACAGGCGTAGTAAGAGTGAGATTAACCAAACCAATTAGCGATTCACATTACAATGGGGGCAGAGAATAGACTACTAGTCATACCGTAAAAAATGGTGTGGGAATGGAATGACACGTTAAAATGTTCAGATGAATAAGAATGTTTTATACAGAACTGGGACATCACAACACCTGTTCCTTTTTGAAAAACAATCAGAAAACATTAATACCTACGCTTTTCGGGATCCAGTTGGAACCGAACGGTTCGAGAAGAAGGAGGGAACTGAGAGTCGCGACATCTGTTGGCGAGACAATGCAGAATCATGGTTTCTGTATGCCGAGGCTGATTTTCGAGAACAGGGTGTGTCAGACACTCATTCTCGATTTCTTGCCGTCATACGGTCACTACCGCGAGAATTAAACAGGTATGTTACGGCACACATGTTTAATCCTGAAATAAGTGATTCTTATGTTCTTATCAAGGCCGCACTCTTGAAGAAAAGCAATCTAACAAATCACCAGCCCCTAGACGAATTACTTCGTAACATCGAGCTAGGCAGCCACTCAGCTACTGAAGTCCTCGCACGCATGCGAGAAGTTATGAGTGCACGAACATTCGACAATGGTCTCTTCCGAGAACTATTTCTCTCAAAACTACCACAACCGGTGCAAACCGTGTTGGTGACACTGCAGTCAGTCCCACTCGGAAACCATGCAGTTTTAAGTAGGACACAAACTCGGGAAACGGTCACGCCGGCACGTGTTCACGGCAACCGTAGCCGGCGGAAACAGCCCTTTACTCTACGTCACGGATATTAAGACGAAAGTTTGCTACCTCGTCGACACCGGCGCAGAAGTTAGCGTTCTTCCTGCACCGCCAAAGGAGCGTTATCATGACCCATCCTTCAATTTCCGAGCAGCCAACGGCAAGGCAATCGCGACATTCGGGAGACGGTATGCCCACCTCAACTTAGGTTCAAGTAAACCTATCCACTGTATTTTCCTCCTTGCTGACGTTTCCATGCCCATCACTGGCATAGATTTGCTAAACCATTACTACCTACTAGTAGATGCTCGCCATCGACGTCTGACAGATAACAATACAAAGTTATCTATTGGCAGCACCCCCTATGTAGGTCCGAGTTTAGCCATCGTTAGAACCAAACAATCAGGCGACGCGTCCTACCAAGCAGTTTTGGAGAAATATCCAGAGTTGCAGCAACCGAAGCACACTCTTCCGTGCATAACCAGCAATGTTATGCATCACGTCACAACCACAGGTCCACCTGTGGCATCCAAAGCGTGCCGTTTAGCCCCCGATAAGCTCAAAATTCGAAGAGTGAATTCGACCACATACTCGAACTGGGCATAATCAAGCCGTCATACAGCCCTTGGGCATCACCACTGCACATGGTTCCCAAAAAGGATAGCAACGACTGACGTCCGACCGGTGATTACCGAAGGCTTAACGCCAAAACAACTCCTGACTGCTACCCGATACCTCACGTTTGCGATTTGACTGCAACCTCATGCGGAATGAACATTTTCTCCAAAATCGATCTGGTCAAAGCGTACAACCAGATACCTATGGCAGCAGAAAGTAAAGCGAAAACAGCCATTATTACTCCTTTTGGCTTGTTTGAATTCCTGCGCATGCCATTTGGTCTTCGGAATGCAGCACAAACATTCCAAAGCTTTGTGGATGATGCCTTCCGTGGTTTGAATTTTGTTCATGTCTACATCGATGACTGTCTAATTGCGAGTATACGCCCATTGAGAGATAAAGTGGTGGCTATCACGAACTATCCAGAGCCGACCACTGTGAAACATCTCCGCACTTTCAATGGCCTGGTAAGTTAGTACCGAAGGCTTATCCCCAACTGTGCCTCTGTCATCAGACCACTGACAGATCTACTTCGAGGAACTACGAAGTTCGTGACCGTGGACAACGTAGCCAGACTTGCTTTCTCCAAAGTCAAGGAAGACATTTCAAACGCAACCATGCTAATGCATCATTACCCCAATGCTGCTTTGAGTATTGCTGTTGATGCATCTGACTCAGCAATTGGGGCAGTTATGCAGCAATTGACTGACAACCAGTGGCAACCGTTAGCCTTTTTCTCGAGGCGGCTGCAAGACGTGAAAACAAGATACAGTACATTTGGCAGGGAACTCCAAGCTATGTACTGTTTTGTACGCCACTTTCGACATTCGGTGGAAGGTCGTGATTTCATTATTTTCACAGACCACAAACCGTTAACCTTTTCCCTCAGCTCGGCGTCTGACGAATACTCCCCGCGTAAGTCGCGACAGCTGGATTACATTTCCCAGTTCACGTCAGACATCTGCCATATTTCTGGAGCAAATAACTCCGCAGCCGATGCCTTATCATGAATAGCTTCGATAAACCACATCGAGGGCGTTGATCTCGTTGAACTAGCTCGGCGTCAAAAAGAAGACCTTGAGCTGTATCATGAGTTGTCGTCCACAACTCTCAAGCTGCGACTTTGTCCGGTTGGATCAGACAAGGATACAATTTTGTGCGATGTCTCTGCTAGTCAACCACGCCCAATAGTTCCGAAGAGTTGTCGACGCAACGTCTTCAATACGTTGCACAAACTCTCTCATCCAGGTGTACGAGCCACCATTAGGCTTATCGCACAACGTTTCTGCTGGCCTGGGATGAACAAAGACGTTAAGGAGTGGGCTCAGTCGTGCTTAGCTTGTCAAAAGTGCAAAGTCACGCGACACACGAAAAGCCCTTTAGGCTCATTTCTAGCCCCAGACATGCGTTTCGACCACGTCCATATAGATATTGTAGGACCCCTACCAGAATCTAATGGATGTACCTACCTTTTCACTTGTGTTGATCGTTTCACACGATGGCCGGAAGCAGTACCTATTAAGGATATTACTGCTGAAACAGTTGCTCGTGTTTTCGTCGAAAGATGGATCGCGAACTTCGGATGTCCATCTTACGTCACAACCGACCGTGGGCGCCAATTTGATTGTGGATTATTTCACGCTCTAACGGCACTTTTAGGTTGCACCCAGTTCCGAACGACAGCCTACCATCCACAAGCAAATGGCATGGTAGAGCGTTTCCATCGACAGCTGAAAGCTTCCCTTTCAGCTGCAAACATACCTCAGTGGACCGAGGCTCTGCCTCTAGTCCTACTAGGTATTCGTAACGCCTTGAAAGTTGATGCTGGATGTACCCCTGCAGAACTCGTCTATGGGACCACTCTTCGCCTACCAGGTGAGTTTGTTTCTCCTTCAACTTTCAAACATGTTTCCGACAGGGCATCGTATGTGACTAGGCTTACAAACGCAATGCGTTCAGTTAGGCCTTCTCCGATTAGACCTCAAACGACTGGTGTTTTCGTTCACCCCAGTTTACAAAAGACATCACACGTGTTTATTCGCCACGACGCTGTTCGTCGACCACTTGAACCACCCTACGACGGGCCATTCAAAGTGATCAAGCGACACGAGAAATTCTATATAATTGAGCGAGACGGACGTGAAGATACTGTCAGTATCGACCGTTTGAAACCAGCTTATTTCGAAGGCAACCCCATTATAAGTGACGTTTCAGCTCGCTACAGCCGACCGACGGATAGCTCAATTATCGAAATTCTTGACGATGTGCCTGGTAATGCACAGTTGCAACAACCATCGGCGCAACAGAAAACACGATCAGGTCGAACCGTCAGGTTCCCAGAGTATTTAAAGTCGTATTCAACTTAGCAGTGTGAAATAAAGTGTGCCAACCATTTTTTTTTCCGAGCAACTATTTTTCTTATTTACCGGCAATGCGCAAATCCTCGTACATTTCGCCTTTTATATCAATTTTTTATTACCATGTAATGAAACTTTTTTAAAAAAAACGGTGAAAATAAGCGTAAATTTTATTTTCGATATATTTGTATACATATAATTCCTATTTTTACGAAGCATTTTCATGGTATTAAAGACTTTCATTTATATTCCAGGTGCGACGAGCACTGGACGGAACGTCAAAGAAAACTGAGGATGACGATCGACGTACAATTCGATTTATTGTATTTCATTATTTAATTGCCACGACACCCTAAAATAAGTCCAGGCAATCAGGGGCCACGTCACGCAGTGAGCCGATCGGAAGAGTATTAGCAGTGGAGAAACCACTGGGTTTTTACTTCCGGCTGGTATCGTCTTAGGGTCCTCACAAACCCACTAGGGGGGGGGGAGTGATCTGTAGCGTCACACACTTCCTCAAAATCAATAGCCCGGGGTTTGACGACTTTCGACATTGATGCTGACCTTGATAGTTTGACTGGACTCGCTTAGCTGAAGGCACCTGGTCAGGCATCCTGGCCATTTGGCACGCTGTCGTGTTATGTTGCACTACTCATATTCGACTCGTTAGCCGGTTAGTTGGAACGCATCGATATCTTGGCACAACCATCGAAAAATACTATTCCACCCGACTACGCTATTGTGTTCTTCCTTGGTCTCGCACTCGTGGGTATATAACAAGTCCGAATAATTAGTGATTGGTCTTTGCGTCTGTCAAGTTAGCACCAGGACAAATCCTAAAAAGGTAATGCTTGGCTAAATTACTGAAGTGTTTAAATTTGAAGGATCGCATATATAGTGAGTGTAGAACTACGGCAGTTTTAATGTGTTTTCACAGGGCATGCATATTCGGGTTCATGGAAATGTCAAGATATACTGCATAGACAACAATAGGTGATACTCACAACAATGTATCACCTCACTGATGAAAGGATCTACTTTTGTTTGTTCATTCTTAATTGGAGGCATGTCCACAGTTGCCGCCATGTTGCTCTTCACTGTGCTTAATGTCCCGGTGAATACTGCCACTTTGAGCTTCGAGGTCGATTGAAAGAATCCGTTTCTGCAGATAAAGTTGTAAGTATTTTTCTGCATTTTTGTATGCTGTTTACAGCTGCAAAGGACAAAGCGGCTCCAGTCAATGAAACAGTCGATTAATATATATTTTATTAATCCACTGTTTCATTGACATATGTCAAATTGCTTCTTGGAAGTATCTTTGTGTGATGCCATAGGGATGTTCATCACAGGTCGCACGATTGCATAGAAGTTACTTGAAGACGGATGCAGGGATAATTAAGAAAAGTACTGGTGAAATATCGTGATTCCAATCTAATTGTGCAGGCTTCCAGGATTCGATTTACAATAAGAATAGAGAATCCTAAATTTACAAAAAGGGAAATGCAACAAATACCAGCACTGTCTGCATTAATGGGGTCTCTCCCCATTTTTTCCCCACGATTTCCCCCTTCGTCCCCATGTTTTCCCCTTTTTACCCGAAATCCCCACTAGTGCGTTTTTCCCCCACGTTCTTTCGTTTGCCCCTGACATCCCCACCTTTTTTCATGTCTGTCAGCTTGGGAAACAGTGCATGATACCAAGACACAATGAAGTTAATTAAATGTAAATTTAAGCTTATGTACATGGTGCCATGCCTACCATTAAATGTACAGTCCTAGTTTTCATGTTTATATTCTTATTTAAAATATACTATTCACTGTGTTTTGGAAATTTTATTTTCGAGAGGTTACATCTGAGGATGTCTTCATTAGTGGTGGTGGTAATAAGTGGCAGAAATGGGGAAACCAATGGTAAGTGGGGAAATGCCACAAAATACCAGCGTTGTCCGCATAAGTGGGGTTTATCCTCACGTTTTCCCCATTTTTTCCCCGTAACGTCCCCATGACTGTCAGCTTGGGTATCTAGTTTTTAGGCCTGTCTCTCGCTTTTTTATTTGGTCAGCAAGGGCCAGATCCTTTCGCATGGACGCTTTAGATCCTTGAAGTTTGTCAGAATCTGATTCCTCTCGTCTGCCGACTCGAACACGACTTTAATTAGCCGGAGCTTATTTTCAGCAGTGAGTCTCCTGTTTTCCTACTTCATGTATCTTGAGTAGGGTGACTCCCGGCATGGTTTCTGGTGGAAGCTGGTTTATCAAACTTTGTTCCTTGCCGAGGTCGTGTTAGAAACCTTTATGTGGTTTCCTGGTCTACCATCTTCCACTCTGTGGAAGACTACGAACCTGTCTAGGATGTCCACTTTGCTTTGTGGAGTGATGATAAGCTGGTTCGGTGACCGTTATTGGCTTCTTTGCATGCCGTTTAGACTTAGTTACCTGCCGTTTTTCTGGGTCGGGTATGCGAGTTTTCTAAAGCCAGTGACCTTGACACCGAGAGCCTAAAAACGGACTTGCACCCCATACTGTTTAGTTCTGATTAGTGATTGGGTTTTGCGAACTGGGTATGACCTGCGTCCTGCATGGTTCCGTCGTTGGCACTGAGAGCGCTTCACTCCTGTTTCTTTCATCTGAAGCAGGCCTGGTCTTACGGCCAGCAGTTTACAGAGTGAGTCTGCCAGCCTTGGGGATGCGAGATCCAGAAGATCCTCTCTTCACCCTGCTTGGGGTAGTTTCTTCCAAGTAGCTGTCAGCAAACCTAGCAGGTAGTCTACGCGCCCGACTTATGGCTTGTCATAGGACGTTCCTAAAATTTTGCGCAGTAATGGGTTCTATGTCGTTATCATTGTCACAGTTATCGGCTTTGACTTTCTACGGCAGTTCCTTAGTTATCGTACTTAGAAGTGTTTTTGCTTCTACCAGAGTGCGGAAATTTAGGCAGCAGGACACTTCTTGCGTTGTTGTACCTCTTATATGTTGAGGTGTAAGGCTTTTACGGTTGTCGTGGGACCGACTCTTACTGCACTGCTAGATTGCAAACCAGAGACCACTGTGAAGTGGCACCCGGCCCTACCACAAACATTGTTACGACACTTTTAGCTCACCATGTTAAGAAATCACCCAG